CTGACGATATGCACTTTTACGTCAGTGGAGCATCACCGACCCAAAAGTGCACACTTTAGCTAGTGATCCCAAGATTCGCTCCTAATCAATGATTTGGTTTGAAACCGTTCTGTCTACAACGTTACGGTGCACCTATGTTCCTTCATGTAACTCCTACACATCAAAAGAATTTACCATTGAGGGGATTCGAACCATGGCCAATTGCTCAGTGGTAAAAGTCTAATGGAAATTAATTGGACATGCCATGGATCTTTGCAATCAATTGTTCCCCTCTACCTTGCCTGCCTTGGAGTGAGTTCACCTGACCCTATCTTCAGGTAATCTCTGCTGAGGGGACTTTACTACGGGCCACAGTAAACGGTTTTTTTGCTTTTTCTTGCAAGCAATGTGATATACATGAACTTATAGGTTGAGGCTGTGCTAAATCGTCTTACCAATGAAAGTGTACAAGTTGATATGATTTGGCTAGACATTCAAAAATTTGATTGGGCAGATGACTTCGATACTAATAGGATCTTCATCAATGCGATGGGCAAGAAGTTAGATGTGCGATTTAGCATTTTTCTACTCATAGGAAAACAAATTGGTTTCAACTCTCTAGATCTTAGGCTATGGGTGTCAAGTGGGGGATCTACACTAACATCCGTAACTGGGATAGTATCGTGGGATTCGATTGGGACCAATGGTCTAGCAAACCGCTTTGGTGGGCCGACTGGGCCGAAAATGATGGGAACCGAGTAAGTTGTTCCATTCTCAGCGGTTAAATTCAAATCATGGAGCTCCCTCAGGATAATCGTAATGAATTTGTACCATTCGCGGGATGGACTAAACCAACACTGCACCAGTACGCTGGAGATTATGCTGGTCCCTGTGGCATTAACATGGACCTCAACTGGTACGAGAACGATGTTGAATAGATGCTGAAAGAAATACATGGTATGCTGTACTACATGCTTGTCTTAACAAATGTGGATAAGATGATTTATAAATGAAATGATATTTCAACAATGTAATTGAAGAACTTGGTGTTTTGAATTATATTATAATTGGCCCTAGATAGGCTTGCATTTTTGATTTCCTTTATCGTTTTCCCGTAAAATAGTGGCATTAATGTTTTAAACGAGTAACAATGGAAACTTATCAAGATAGAAACTTACCCAAACGCGTGAGTGCTGTCACCAATTAGGAGAAACCGGGTTTTTTTAATTCTCACATATTTTCAAAAAAAAAGGGCAAATGTGTATCTCGCTAGTGCTCTACAAAAGAATCCGATGAGCAGGACGAGAACATAACCTATCTGTCATGCTGAGGAGATTATAAAGAGTTAACGCAAACTACGAAGGATAGCAAAAAAGAAGAATTAATATATATTCGAAAAATTATTATAACAAGCTTAGCACAAAAGCAACAAATTGAGTTCTGTTGATTGCTAGTGCTAGCCAATTATTCTTTGGTCCCTATAAATAAATTTCCGCCTGCTTTCTGTCGTACTATGTTGTCCTCCAGCCACGAGTTGCACCTCGTCCATAAGCAAGAGGTGGATCCTTGTAGGGAGCCTACTCTTACGTAATACATAAGTTTATTACAGAATGTTAACTATAAAATACTAATCAAATATTCTCCCATGCATTTTGTTCATACTTTTTCTCTGAGTGTAGTGAGCCAGGTGTATTCCCACCTCGGTTGTTCCATTTCCTTCATGGCTATACTGATTTTTTTGCAAATGAATTTAAATCGGATCTAATCTCGTATAGTGTAATGAATCCTTTTGGTTACGATAGGCTGTTTTATTGCACCCCATACTTTCTAATACATTCTGACCATTGATGTTAAACATAATATGTTTAGTTTTTTCTTATATACTCTTTCATGGGTGCTGTAATTGATTGTCCTCCCAATGTATTTACTTTCTTCTAGTTTCAGCTCTGATACTAAACTATCTATCACTGTAACTTCTTCTTTGGTGACCACTTTGTGTCTTCCAAACTTCGTTCCTTTCTCAAAATGCTTCTAAGTTTGTTTTCTTGTTGATACCAATTTTTCTGTACATACGTCATGTCCCAAATTATATCAATATATGTTCTGTATGTCACATGCACACTGTTTCTTTTCTATTTATTTTTTAGTAGGGTATTGCAAACTTTTTTTTGATGCTGGGAGATTTACTAGTCAGTACGCTGAGAACATGCGTTTAATTACGATAACGAGTTGACAATATTAGTTTTGTACCAAAATTAGTTGGTAAATAACGGCAGCATTAGAGCCATCTCAATATTACGAGATGCTTCTACAGTAATCAAAAGGAGAATAAGATTTTTCTGAGTGAAAATTCAAGTTAGCTATTCAAAATGAATTTTCAGTATCCGATTGTTGTTAAAAATTATATCTCCTTATTTTTGTCGAACAACATGCAAGTAGATGATTGTTATCTAACCATTAGTAGCTAATATGACTTAAAAAAGAAAATAAGCATAGTGTCGCATTCTCTGGCATTTTTAGGATGCATTGATAATCAAAATTAGTTTCGCGCCATCGCAAGCACTGTGACGTTATCCTGTTTGGAGAATTTGGAGAGCTGCTGCATACCTTGCGCCTATATGCTTAGAAGTTTGGTCAATAACGCAAAGAAATCAAAAAATTCATATTCTAAGGATTAATTTAACTTTTATCTTTATCACAAAGACTTTCTTTAAAGTTGTCCGAGATGGAAAAAAAAACTCCAATATATCAGCTTTACCCAGAAGGTTCGATCGATACGCCAAGACTAAAATGACAAATTCAGTTCTAAATATTCTCTTAAAACATAAGTGACTGCGATCATGTAAGAGCAAGTTTGGTCCCTTATTTGTTCTTTTGTGGGCTCAACACAGATACATAAAGGTGGCTGTCGTGCAGG